GGGGTCATTATGACACAAAGAGTTTTCAGAATAATACTGTAATTTAAAATTTGAACTAGAAAAGCACTCAGATGGCACAGACCTCCACCAGCTGCTTGTTCCATGAAATAATGTTAAAGAATTCTTTAAAAAGATTCTGCAAATTATAATGTGGATCATCACCATAATGTAATGGATTGTTCCTTGGAACGAGGTAGACTTTTGATTAAAAAAATTCTCTGTACAGAGACGGACAGTCAAACTCGACTAAAAACAACATCTTTGGCACATGTAATTACTTGGAAAAACATTGTTTGTTTCCTCTTAAATCTTCATCTTCAGGAAACCTTTGTGTTATTTGTTCTAACTTAAAACAAGAACATTTCAGCTTGCAGGGTGATGGTTTGCACTTTCCCAACACTATTTTCACCTGAAGGTGGCTGAATGCATGTCCCTACCATAGTGACTGGATAATGAGTATGTGTCTGCAAAAAAAAAAATAATAATCCTCTGCTATATGACAGCAATTCTTGCAATGGGAATGAAATCAGAGGTTAAGGCAGAAATGGAGGATTTTATGCACCTATGTTGCAGTGTGCATTTCGAGGGACAATTATTGTCTGAGATTGTAATTCAAATCATGCTTGCAGAGTGCCTGTACAAAAAAGCTTGTATGTACCAAAAGTACTCTAATCTCCATTTAAACTCTGCTTAGCCCTTTAAAATGGGCTCTACTTTGAGAAGCACTTTTGCCTTTTAATGCCGGCAGAATTGCTTTTAGGAAAACTTTTCATTTTACTACAAAAACAGGCATTATTCCATATAATTTACACCTAAAGTGGTTAGTTTAGATAAGTTTAGAAAATTTGGCACTAGTTCTTCACCATCTGCCTCTAAACATCAAGGTCCTTCTGGTGCTGAATTCTTTGATTGAGATTAGAGTAATGCTGGGGCAAAGTCCAGGGAGACGGGGTGATGCAGACGAGTAGCATTTTGTAATCCTATCAGCCGCCTTATGACCGTCTGCTCTTCGCAGAAGCTCAGTCTTCAGATTGAGTTGTTCAGTCAATCATGGATTCAATATTTAGTCACCAATTCAATATTACCAAGGCACTTTCCTGCAAGCGTAACTGAGGAGATAGTGCTCGGCTGAGGATGCTATCAAAGACTCGTTACATGAGATTGTCATGGGGGAGGCTTGGGGGAGGGGGGGAGCCTTATACCGCATTAAATCCAAGCTGCACTGGAACAGAGCCAGTTTCCCTGCTTGTCGGTTCAGGGTTTTGTGTTGGTTATACCCGACTGGTTGTAAACATCTCTCCAGATGTGTATCTGCATTCTGGGAGAACGACTCATATTTAAAGTTTAACCTTGACAATAAAGTCCTAGGATTCTCATACATATAAACTAGGGATTCCTAGATTCCAAGTTTTTGTCCTCAGAGGACGGGCGTCTTAAAGTAAGAACAGGCGTTCCAGTCAGTTGAGTGGCATCGTGAATATTTGATCCTTTTGAAGTGTGACTTGCTGTGAAGGATGGTTGACAGGGTGCATACCAATAGGTTTGCCTCTGCTTTGTACTTGTTGCATCAATCCCAGCATCATACTGTCTGAACTCAAAGATTTTTTTTTGTTCTGTTAGAGAAATTCATGTTTTCTCTCTGATTTACTGATGAATTCAATGTGAAAAATATCTAAAATGGAACTAAAAACAAAGGCAGAGTCCTTGCTGTCTTTGAGAAAAGGTATTGCAGGTTCTGACAAAAAACATACAGCTTAAAGTGTTGTCAGGTAAATGGAAGCAATAGAGAAAAATCACAGCCAGCATAGCTTTAGTAACAGCAATGAGTGTCCAATAAATGTCCATATATATAAAAGAGTTAAGATTTTCTTTTGTAAGTCATACTTAGAAAATTGTTACCCTTAATATTATGTCAAAATCAAGAAAGAAGAAAATTGGATTCCTGCAATAAGTTCTGCATGAATGTGCACCATAGATGTCAGCTGTCTTTGGCGTACATTTAACTTTAATGCAGCATTACAGTTTCCAAGAAAAATAAATCTTCAGAGGCATCCGGTAAAATATTTATGGGGAGGGCTTTAAGTAATCCAAATCTTTTTTTAGATTAATGTCCCTGTCAACTATTCTACATGTTTTGTGCATTAAATTGGTGTAAAAAGATTAGTAAATAACATTCCAGAATTGGCATTCTATCAGTCTTTGACTATGGTTCAACTAATCTGATCTTTGGCTAAGCCAGACTGTCACAGTTTTAATGGACATATGGAACTTCCGTAAAAGTTCAAAAAAAATCTTTTTTCTCAGAGTTCTGACAGATAAC